AATAAAATAAAATAAAATAAAATAAAATAATAAAATAAATAAAATAAAAGCCCGGGGCAGGCTGGAGCTAGTGTCTCTCTGCAACTTTTTCCCTTCTTAAAATTACACTTTGATTAAACCGTCCCCTAAAATGTGACAACGTTTAAACACTGGGGTGATTGTAAATACGTTTCACCAAACAGAGCGGTGAGGAAATCTCCCTCCACAAACATGCCATCTTGTCCTTTCAACGTGTCCGTAATCGGAAAATCTAATGGAAAGGCTGTTCACTGGGCGCGGAGCGGGCGCAGCGCCGCGGAGGCTCCGCGGCCGCGCGGGCTGGTCTGGGGTTCCCAGCTGAGAGGGCAGATTTCTCCCGCCTGCCCGGATTTCAAACCCTACACGTGTCAGGACGAGAAGCAAATGTTGTTTCGGCGGGGAAGTCGGAATAACAAAGCGATTTATGCGGGCACGTCAGAGCGGCGGGAATCTTGCCTGGTAGTTAAAATTTTTGAGCCAGAAAATTAAAAACAAATATTTAACTTCGCAACGTTGAACCCCCGGCTGCTGCCGCCGTGCGACTTTCCGCAGGCATATGCAAGGAATTCCAACCCGAGCTCTCGCCCAGCGGAGGGAAATCGGTTTAATGCGGTTCCAAATCAATTAGTAAGCGTCTGCATCGAGTCCTCACCGAGGCGCGGAAGGGACGCGCTGCGCGCAGCCCGGCCGGGGGTAACTTTGTCGGAGGGTGGAGAGTCCCCGGCATCACTAGGCCCACCGCCACTGCGGAAAACCGGCGTATTCCCAGGGTTTAGGTGCCGGGGGGACGGGCCTTGGGAGGCGGTGCCGCTCCCGACCAGCCCCCAAGCCGGTTCCGCGGGCGCGCACCGGCGGCCGCAGACCCCAACCCGGGGAGCGCGGGGTTCCAGCACCCGCGGAGCCCGGCTGCCAGCTAGCGGAGTGGTGCGGGGAGGTGCTGAACTTCCGCGGGGCTGAGGGAGGGGGAAAGGGATGGAGTTCGGGAAGGGGAAGGGGAAGGGAGAGGGAAAGGGAAAGGGAAAGGGAAAGGGTGGAGAAAATCGAGCAGAGAAAGAGATGAAAAGGAGGCAAGGAAGAAGGGAGGGGGGAAAGGAGAAGGAGGGAGGGAAGGAGGGAAGGGAAGGAAGGAAGGAAGGGAGGAAGGAAGGAAGGAAGGAAGGAAGGAAGGAAGGAAGGAAGGAAGGAAGGAAGGAAGGAAGGAAGGAAGGAAGGAAGGAAGGAAGGAAGGAAGGAAGGAAAAGGAAAAAAGTGACAAGCAAAAAAAAAGACAAAATCAAAAGAAGAAGCAAACAAGAAAGGTAGATGAGGGAAGGAGAAAGAAGCAGCCCCCAGGTAGCTGGACAGGATTTGAGGCCAACCCAGCAGACCACGGAGGGGGTTGGGGTGGAAGGGCAAGAGGGGCCAGCGAAATCCCCCGACCTGAGCACCCACCCCAGGACAGGGAGCACCCCTGGGCTCGCAGCATTACTGTCACCACAGCCCGTGCCCTGACACTTCTCCCCCAGCACACAAAATCACTCCCATTTCTCCTTCTCATTTTCCCTTTTATTTTTTCCGCTACCGCCAATTTGCCGCCCCAGCCTCATTTCTCGGCACAATTCGATGTAACGACTGCAAGAGGCGCCGGGCGCCCCAGGTCCTGCAGCAGCGGGACGCTTCGGCCGCGGCCATTGGCAATTGCAGCTTTTGGGGGGATTTGGGAGCTGTTCAGCATCGCGAGCCACGAAGTGTCATTTCCTTGGCTCGCTAGGGAAGTTTGCGGGAGTTATTTTTATTGATGTGCTCCTGGTAGATTGTTTTGGCAGCTGCAATTTCCGTGTGACATATCCAGCCTCTCCGCCGAAAACCGCGAGGAAGAAGAGCAAAAAAAAACAAACCCCAACAAAACAACAAACAAAAAAAGAAGAAGAAAAAAGCTTTGACATTTATCCCCAGCTACTGCCGCTGCCCATAAGGTTTCATTACCCAGCTCGGCCCCGGTGCCAGGCTGCGTCGGTCATTAGGAACCTTTCTCGAAATCTTGTCAACCTGGAATGAGAAACAGATTTAATGGAGGCAGCCACATACCTCCTGGTCTGCCAGCTGAAACTGAGACTATGCAAAACAGGATAGAAATGCCAAATAAGCCGCTGCATTCCCTTCCTAGCAACCAACTCTTTGCATGTATTTATTTACTTTTTGCAGCTTTTGGGGGGATTTGGGAGCTGTTCAGCATCGCGAGCCACGAAGTGTCATTTCCTTGGCTCGCTAGGGAAGGTTGCGGGAGGTATTTTTATTGATGTGCTCCTGGTAGATTGTTTTGGCAGCTGCAATTTCCGTGTGACATATCCAGCCTCTCCGCCGAAAACCGCGAGGAAGAAGAGGAGAAAAAAAAACCCAACAAAACAACAAACAAAAAAAGAAGAAGAAAAAAGCTTTGACATTTATCCCCAGCTACTGCCGCTGCCCATAAGGTTTCATTACCCAGCTCGGCCCCGGTGCCAGGCTGCGTCGGTCATTAGGAACCTTTCTCGAAATCTTGTCAACCTGGAATGAGAAACAGATTTAATGGAGGCAGCCACATACCTCCTGGTCTGCCAGCTGAAACTGAGACTATGCAAAACAGGATAGAAATGCCAAATAAGCCGCTGCATTCCCTTCCTAGCAACCAACTCTTTGCATGTATTTATTTACTTTTTTTATTATTATTTTCCTTTTTTCTTCTTCTCCCCTCCCTGCCCTCCAAGCCTCCCTTGGAGGAACTGGGCAGGATCTTCTTTATTTTTTTACAAGGTGCTTTGTAGAGGGAGAATTAAGTTTTGCCCGGGGATGTCGCTTGGGTCGGTTTGGCTGGTTTTGTTGGTTGGGTTTTTGGGGAAAGAGGCAATGAGAGAGGGAGGCTGCTGGTGTCATCCTCAGCCCCCCGTCCTCCCCGGCTCCTTCCCGGTCTCTCTGCCCCCCTCCAGCCCCGCTTGTCCTTGCAGCGAGGGGACGCCAGGGGGCAAGAAGTGTTCACAAAGGCTCCCTTCGTCCTTCCATCCTTCTTCCATCTCTCCATCCTTCCTTCCCTCCATCCGTCCCCTCCTGCAGGGGATTTCAGCATCTCGCAACAGCAAGGGTCAGATTTCTTAATATTTAAATAAATAAATAACCCCCAAATCATAATAATCATTTTTAAAAAAACCCAACAGCCCAGGAATAAATCCACGAGGCCGTGTACATTTCCAATCCCCCCCACACCCCCCCAATCTTATCTCCGCGTGCACCTCTCGGGCACGGCAGCGCAGCACAACCGGGCGGAAACGATATCGAGAAGCCTTGGGAAGAACGGCACCGTTCCTTTCAGCCAGCCATTCATCCTGCTTACCTTGCTGCTATTTGGACCTAATCCTATTTGCCTCCGTGCATTGTAAGGGCAGGGGAACGACACAGTTTTGTTCTCCCGGCCGGGAAGGAGCGTGTCCCGGTGCCCGCGCTGGAGCCGCAGGAGCGGGACGCGCTCCAGGGGCAGCGGCAGCTTCCAAAGGAAATCACTCAAGGGAAACTTCGCCAGAAACACACACACAAAAAAAACCAACCCAAAACAACAAACACATTCAATTTCCTGATTGCTGCTTTCCTCCCCGAGTTATTTATTTTGGCAATCACACCTTCAATAAATGAAATAATCAACTGCCCTCCTCGCCAGCTCCTATGATTATTTCAGGAGTCTCTCCCTTTTCTTTTTCTTTCTTTATTATTTTTTTTAAATTTATTTTATTTTATCTCTTCAATTAACTCTGGGGATGGTTCCCGTATCCCAGCTTTGCTTGACAACTGATGCATGATGTGGCTTATGAATTTTGCAGACAATGAACCCCAGTGTGGATGACACGGCCCGTGCACACGTACAGATGCCATTTCTTGGGCACGCGAGACGTGAGGGCAAAGTATCACTTATTCTTTCATCTTTTTTTCACACCTTTTCCTTTCCCAGAGTCTGCCCCAAATGCTGAGAGTTGGGATGTGGAGCTAATGCCAGAGATTTTGCTGCAGAGGCAGAAACCTCTTAAAATAATCAGATGGCAAAATACCAGGCTCACCCCCGAGAGCAGCGTTTGTAATGCTCCTGCCTGGCATTTTATTCCCTGCTTTATCTCCCCATATCACACAAATCCATATGCTGTGTATCATTTCTTTTTTGAAATGCCATGAACTTGGTGTTTTAAATCAAACCAGCCTTTCCTTTCCCCTCCCCCCCCCTCCTTTCTTTCTTCTTTTCTTTTTTCTTTCTTTCTTTTTTTTTTTCAGCTCCAAAACAATAGAGATTGTCAAAGGGCCCCGGGTTGAGCTTTTCTGCGTGTTCACAAAGCGTTAAAGCTCTATCGAACAAACCGGCTCTGTCTGACCCCTGCCAGACAAAAGGCAACTTCCATTTTTCCTCTGTGGAAAAAAGGGGCAGAAGGGGAAGGAGGGGATGTACAGTAGGGCTGGGTGGGTCCGGAGTTCTGGGGTGTCCTCAGGCAGCAGTGGGACCCCCTGTCACCCAGCCAAGACCCTGATGCTGCTGGTCATGGTTGTTTTGGAGGTGCTGCTGATGTGCTCAGCCTCATGCAGGTGGGGGACATGCCAGGAGAGTGGCAGCCCTGCAGGCTGGCACCTGTTGGCCTCAGCCACAGCTTTTGGGTAGTGCTGTGCTGCACTGAGCAGTGCTGCACCCACCCAGGGCAGTGCTGCACCCACCCAGGGCAGTGCTGCACCCCAGTGGGGCTAGGCAATGCTGCCCAGTGGCAGGTGTACCCCAGTGCCACACTCACAGAACACAAGCCCACCCTCCTGTGCCCTCCTCAGCTACCCTCTGCCATGTCCTGCTCATGCCCCAGCACCTCAATGCCTGCCTGGTGCCTGCCATGTCCTGCCTTGTATGCCCCAGCAGCACACATGTGCCCTGCCCCAAAAGCCACCACCAAGCATGAAGCAGACGTGCTGCAGGGCCACACATCCCTCCCAAGCCAGAGCCTGCTCTAATGTCCAGCCAGGGACACAGCAAGCCTTGGCTGAACAAACATCCCCCCTCCTGGTTCTGGAGCCTTTGAATTTCTCCTCGAGGCTCTGGAAAGAACAGAACCCCTTCATCATTCCTAAGGTCCACCCTGATGATTTACCATTTCTATGGCAATTTTTTAAAATTAATTATGAACAAGATAGGACTGCTTGTTCTTCTGGAGCTGAGCACCACCATGGTGGCTTGGAACAGTGGCCAGGCATTGATGGCAGAAATGGAATGGTCAGACATGGTCAGAATGTTCTTCTGGGAAATGGGCAGGGAGATGACTGGCAGATGAACCAATACGTAAATGCCACTTTCTGGATGTGGGCATTCACCTGAGCTTGGGCTCTGCTGCTCCAGAAGAGCATCAGTCTTTTGCAAACCCTTGGTGACAGGTACCATCGTTGGTAGCACTGGTCTCTGCTAATCACCCCCACAGCTTGTGCATTTAGCTCACACACAGAGCCCCATGCAGAGACACTGGACTAAATCCTGCCCAGTGTGTCTGCAGCTTTGAAAAAAGTCTGAGCAATGTTTCCCCCAGCTCCAGCAGCAGCCAGGTAGCAGATGAATCATTTTATTGATGAGCTGGTGATGCCTGTCAGCAGAGACGTGTGTCTGCAGCAGCACTCTGAGCAGTGTGAGCACTTGTTGCTGCATCTACTGCCTCGGCCCCCTTGTGCCACCTTCTCCTGTGCAAGGACAAGCACAGGGACATCCTTTGCTGTCCCTGTTCGGGGCTGAAACTGGCTGCTCAGAGGTGGGTGGGAGAAACCCTTACCTCCCCACGACCTGTGCTTTGGTTTTGCTAGTGAAATCCAACTGTTTCTCCCTGGGGTTTGGTTATTTGCAGAGACCCTTCTGCCCTAAGCCCATCGCTATCCCACAGGCAGCAGAGCAATGCCAACACTGCTGCAATGGCAAAACCCACCTTCCTGTGGGTATGTCATATTTTCACAGTGCCAAAGCACCCGTGAATTTCCAATCCTGCTCATAAAATGTTATTTTCCAAGGAGGAAGCCGGGACCATGCTCAGCTTTGGGCTTGTTGAGCTCTGGGTAGTGGGCACAGGCTGCTCCCCCTGCCCTGCCAGCAGCGTTTTGCAGCACTCGTTAAGGGAAGCTGGCAGTCAGCTCTGCCCTCAGCAGAGATTTGTAAGCCTGATTATATTCCTAAGCATATGTTTGGAAACGTGAAGCAGCTCTCTGAAGTCGGTGGAATTGCTCTGATTGAAAATCTCAAGTCAAGAGGAGGGAAGCCTGGCTCCGGGTCTGAGCTCCCACCAGGAAGAGCCACAGGCAGCAAGTGACAGCTTTGAGCTGTGCCCCTCCCCCAGGGGAGAGGTTGAACAGAGACCAGAACAAACATCTTTGTCGTGAAAATCCCATAATATCATAGAAGTGTTTGTGTTGGCATTTTATAAGTGCATAAACGATCAATCAAATTACCTGGGTGGGCAGGTAGTGCCTGATACCTTTTCCAGGCTATTTTACAGGGTTTCAAGGATAATCCTCAGGGGAAAAGGAAGCTCATTGAACTCATATTGCACCAGATATTCCCACCAGCAGATGCTTCGTTTTGAGTGCTGAACAAAAGTGGCCAAGGCTGAGCAGCAACAGTGCTTTGCAAGGTTCAGCTCTTGGTGTTGCTGGACCCAGCTGTTGCAAAAGCAAACCTCTCTCAATGGGAGTCACAATTTCATTCCCTAAACCAAATGGTTACCAAAAGCACATTGGTTACTTGAGAATAGCACCACTTCCCTGGAGTCAGCTAAATTTGCCTGGTCTAAAACTGCTGGAGTAGAGCAATTACTCTGACCTGTAAAGCTTAAAGCCATGAGAGATTTGAAAGACTGGAAAGGTGAGTCCTTTAGTTGCTCCATGTTAGAAGCAGTGGGCAATGGGCAGCATAAAACATTGCCTGAGCAGTGTCATGACTGCAGCAGTCACACATGCACCCTCTGCATTCCCTGCCCTCTATGCCTGACCACAAAACATGCTTGGAAAAGAGAAATTTGAGTTGTAACCATGCAGGTTTTCACATCAGAAGAAAGATGCTGCTCACACAGTGAGGACTCAACCCACCAGGGCTGAGACAGGTCGCCTGGAGGATTCACTCCATGATGCCTCACTGGCTTTCCACTAGCCCAATGGGCCAGATACAGAGTCTCCAGTGGGCAGTAAATCCCAGCCACGTGGCTGGAATTACTCCCTCTTTATACCAGCACAAGGGATGGGGGAATCAGTCTGACTTTGTGTAACTGGGACAAGAGAAAATTCTATTTAAATTCTGCACCCCGCCAGTGAATCTTGCAGCAGCCTAATTTTTCTATGAATAATGCCTTGGGCAAGGCTTGTGTGGCCCAGAAAAGGGGAAGAAAAAAAAAAAAAAGTTAGAATTTCTTCTATCCTGCTTATTTGAAACCTCCTTCTAAACGGCTGGTGCATCTTGAGAGGTTTGGCCCACTGGTGGCCAAATCAGGGCTGTGATGCTGGAGAGGGCACCCAGGTAGGGAGCACCAGCATCCATTGGAGCAAGGAGGGCACAAATACAGGGAGTCAAACACTTGTGAGATTAAGCTAGAGAGCAAAAATAAAAATATATAATTTTTGGGGGGGGGAAGGGAAAAAATTAATTGAGTAACCTCAAATTACAAATCAATTTGAGGAAATCCCAATCTAGCTGCAGACACTGTGAGCAGCTAAAGCTGAACTCGTTGAGCAGAAGGCTCTAATTAGCACACGGTGCTGGCTCACTCCAAGCTCCACGTGGCTCTCTCCGTGTTGGATGTGCTCGGTCCTGAGCCCTGACACTCATCAATTTGACCCAAAATCCATCAAAGGTGGGATGTCACCATGTTGAGATTGTTAAGGGGCTGAAGGAAGTCAAACTCCAAATTTCTCGGCTCCAACACGTCTGTGCTGCCTCCTCCCAGCCACCCCGGGCTGGTTTCTGACCTCATTCATGCCAGTGCAAATCTGCAATAACTTCACGTTAGCCACAGGGTTTATTGCAAATTGTCCTTGTGTAAAGAGACCAAAATCTGGTTTATAAAGTTGGCTTCTTTTCCCTCATTCCCATGCAAGAAACTCTTCTGCAGCCGGAGTCAGTGGGACAGCTTTCACCTCTTAACTTCAGGAAAATTGCTCCCAATTCACACCGATGGAAGCAAGGGGCAAACCCATTTCCTCCACAATAGCAGCATTGCTTTGGTGGTGCAGGATTTAGCCCTTTAGATTGAGTGAGGATTGAACTTTGGGGGGGGGCAGGGAGCCCAGCTGAAGATGAACACCAAGGACCCCACCGCAGCAAGGCACGTCTAGTTACCGGAAGGAGGGGTTGAAACACTGCACCAAAAAAAGCCTCTTTCAGCTTTAGTGAAAGATGTGACCTCATTCTTTTCCTGAGGCTGTAGAGATATGCAGCATTTTCCTTGTAAAGATGTGTATCTTTCCTTCGGGAATGGCTGAAAGACTATTTGGGTAGCG